TTTTTCATGTCTTTCACTGACCGATGTCTCCCTTCACCTACTTTTCTGTTGTCCGTCCCCAGGGAGGAGGTTATATGTAGATCATTATGATAGGTTCCCCCTTCTCCTCCCACCTTCCCCTTAGCCTCCTGTTTTCACTACTCTCATTATTGGTCCTGAGGGGTTCATCTGTCCTGGATTCCCTGCGTTTCCAGCTCTTATCTGTACCTCTGCACATCCTCTGGTTTAGCCGGATTTGTACGGTAGAATTGGGGCCATGATAGTAGGGGTGGGGGTGAGGAGGAACCATTAAAGAACTAGAGGAAAGTTGTATGTTTCATCAGGGCTATACTACACCCTGACTGGCTCGTCTCTTTCTTGTGACCCTTCTGTAAAGGAATGTGTAGGGGGAAAAAAGGTGATTCAACTAAATCATCTATTTTCTCTTTTACGGGATCAGGCAAGTTACCAAGGAAACCACGTTAATATTTCATGGAATTTATTTTGACAGAATGATAAACGTGTATTTCATTAATCCTCACTTTTTAATAGTTTTCTTATAGTTTTTATAGTTCTAGTTCCAATAACAAGCTATCCTACTAGATTCACCACTGAGATGAGTTAAAATGCCATCCTTAAAATCTATTCCCTCAACCAGAGAAATTTAAATGAGACTCAGGCCTCAAAAATTCCTAGATATAATGTCTGTGATCTATTACTGACTTACAAGGCATCCCAAGACTTAGTAGCATAAAACAACAATGATTTCATTGCTCATGATTCTGTGAGTCAGAGAGGGTTAGGTTGAGGTGGCTTCACTGGGTCTGGAGGACCCAAAGTGACATCAGTCACATGTCTGAGATCTTGGTAGTAGCTGTTGACTGGCTTGCTTTTCCTTATGTGACCTTTCTGTCCGGTAGAATCGCCTGGGCATCTTTATGCAGTAGCCGGGTTCTCCCCAGCAAAAGTCAGAACTACAAAGACTCTTCAGCTGAGAAATCCTACAACCTTTGTCACGTAGCACAAAGCAGCGTCTTGAGGTCAACCCAGATTGGAAGGGCGAGTAGCCTACTGAAACAGAGATGGAAGCTAACTCTACAAACCAGCTATGACAGATTGTATCAGAATGCTTCCACCTTAAATAGGTGGTGATTGTTGTTCAGTTTCAAGTCAGCTGTATTGAGATTCAGGGATCTGTGGACATCTAACTCACAAAGAACCAATTCCAACCCAGAGAGGCCCTATGTCTCTCTAGGACCCTATGTAAAACCGAGCGAAGCACTGACCAATCTTATCCCATCCGCACAATCATTGCTATCCTCCAGTCCACTGTTATGGCAAGAAAAGCAACCTTCATGGTTTCACAAATAAGAAGGGCAGAGGTAGGGCTGAGGGTTGGTTAGCTCTATGGCTCTATGAATTTAATAAGAGCCTAGGTTCATTGATTGTCCCATCACGCCATACTTCAATGTGTCTGCTTCTCATCTGGTGACCCCAACATGGCTACGATAGGTCCGGGCTTCATACTCTTATAATATCCAAAGGCCAGAACACAGTATGGGTAAAGTCTAGGAAGCACCTGCCCTTCCTCAAGATCCTTTTTAAGAATAAGAACACATTTCCATGAACCCTTTGCATTGGCCAAAATGATATCACGTGTCCCTTCGTAAGCTAATGACTTGCAAGGGAAGGAATTGTCATGATTGGTCCTCTCTGAAGAACCTACCTGCCTGAGACCTAAACAAAACCTGGATCGATTTGTGTAAAAATGATGATGAGAATAGCCATTTAGTAAGCAACGGCTGTTTCGACCAGAAGTACTAAACACAAATTATTTGAAAGCTTTATTCAAATGCCAAAAGATTTTCCTTAAAAAAATAAATAACTAATTAAACTCCCATGGACATAACTCTGATCAAAAAGGGGGGAAACGCAGAACACAATCTTATATTCTTATGGACCGTAGATTTTCTAGAATACTAGAGAGTGGATGAACTCCTAAAACTATTGGCCTGAGATCATTTTTAAGATTCAAACCAAAAATGTCCCCTGAAATTTTATGCTAAAAGGTCTGCCTTGAGCATTCAGCCCTTATAAGAATGATCTCTCGGGAACCAAATTGCCAGGAGCAACTGCAAAGATTAGATTAGAAATTGGGGGCGGTGAGCTGATGTTAATGGGGAGGAACAACTAGACAGAGGAGGGTGAAAACGGCCGCACAGCTTCATGAATGCTGTCATTACAGGTAGAAACTGTGAGGCGGGCGTATGTGCTGCTAGGTGTATATTCCCAACAACAACAAAATAAATAAAATTTAGGGAAGAAAAATTCCTGAAATGTTAGAAATAACTTTAAGATTCAATTTTTTAAGTTATGATTTTGGGGGGATGGGGGAGATTCAAAAAACTACTTAAGAGAAAAACTTTACATAAACAAAGCACATGACCTTTCACTAATCTTGAAAGTTGAGTAGGCCCCTGGGGGTGCAGAGCTTAAAGGAAAAACAAAATCTGTTTTGTTAAACTTGGCACTAATCTGCCGAATCCATCTAACAGAAGATTTGGATTATGTTCAGTTCTATTAATGTCTCCTAGTTCAAAACCACCAGCTGCTCCTTGGTCGAAAGCGTGGGCTTTCGACTTCTGCAAAGAGTTACAGTCTCAGAAACCCACAAAGGCAGTTCAGTCCTGTCCTAAAGGGCCACTGTGAGAGAATTGGCATGATGGCAGTGAGTTTGGGCTGCTGGTGGTGGTGGTGGTTTTTGGAAGCTCAAGGGGGTATGAGCTTCATAGCAAAGAAGTATCAGAATTAAACTGTGTGCCATTTTCAGCTATTGTCTTTGGGATTCTATTTTGCAGATCAGCCTCCGAAGAGCATAGCTGTGTAGAAACAGGAAGTCAAGAACCAATGGCTATTTATTTCACCAGTGGAACCACAGGCTCTCCCAAGATGGCCCAGCACTCTCAGAGCAGCATGGGCATCGGATACACCCTCTGTGGGAGGTAGGCCACGCTCTCCTGGGCTGCCAACGTGTGTATCCAACTGCCTCCCTAATTCTTCTACTTGGGTAGTGATTAAAGTTCTCAAAAATAATGTCTGCAAACCGGAGTCCCTGCCTTCCGCAAGCTTGGCAAATGGTGCCATCTAACCAACTAGCCAAGGGAAAGCAGGAACCAATTTTAATTCAACCTCCATAGCAGCAGGTCCAGCTTTGTCCTGACTGGCAGGTCAATTTACCTAGCCTGGTTTGCCTTCCTTTTAGCATTGGTAACCACTATTTGAAATCCTTTTTGTTTATTATGTACTTATTCACGACCTATCTCCTAAGTAAAATCAGAATAGAGAGATATGGTCTTTCTTGCTTACTCGTATAGGACAGTATCTATTGATGTTTGCTCAATAAATATTTGCTGTGTCAATAGATGAGTTCTGAGAATCATGTCATGCCCAACCTCCAACTCCACTCTCAGACCACCTAGAATTCTGAAATGGGCCTCTAACGAGAGTGGGAGGTGGAATCCTTTATTCTGCCAGTGGTTATCTTTGCCCTTGAGGTTCTGTGGCAAGAACCTCATTGAACCCATTGAGGTCAAGTCAGTTCCTACTCAGAATGATCCTATTTGACGGAGCAGAACTCTCCTCATAGGATTTCCAAAACGGTAATCTTTACAGAAAGGAGCCCTGGTGGTACTGTGGGAGAAGCTAACCACAAGGTCGGTGGTTCAAACCCACCAGATGCTCCTTGGGAGAAAGATGAGAGACTGGTGTAGTGGGTTTAAGTTTTGAGCTGCTAACTGCAAGGTCAGCAGTTAGAACCTATCAGCTGCTCTAAAGATGAGGCTTTCGCCTCCTGTAAAGATTCCCAACCTCAGAAACCCACAGGGGCTGATCTACTCTGTCCTATAGTGTTGCTATGAGTTGTAATCAACTCCAGGGCAGTAGTTTTTTTTTGAGGTGGGGGTGGTGGGGGAGAATAGTAAAGATTTATAGCCTCAGAAACCATACGCAATGCAATGACTTGGGGGTCTTCACAGCGGCAGATCTCTAAGTCTTGACTTCCTGGAAGCAGCTGCTCCGGTTAAGTGACTGACATTTCAGACACAGCCAAGCACTTCATCCCAGTGCCTGGGGCTCCTTCACCTCTCAGATCACCGTTTGTCTGCTTTCCCTGTTTTCCCTCCTTCCACCTGCTCTGCTGCTTCTTTCTATCATTTAGGTATTGGCTGGACTTGAAGTCCTCGGATGTTATCTGGAACATGTCTGACACTGGCTGGGTCAAGGCTGCCATTGGCAGTGTGTTTTCTTCCTGGCTTCAGGGAGCCTGCGTTTTTGTGCATCGGATGGCCCAGTTTGACCCTGACACGTTCCTGGATGTAAGTCCTGACCTTAGCAGCTTCTTTTGTCCCTTAAAGCTCTCTCGTGTCTCCCATAAGCCCACAAATAATTGAATCCCCAGAATACAGGGCTTCTTGAGCTTATAGAAATCATTCCTCTTGAAAGGAGCAAATTCCCTACAACAGTCTCACGCATGAAATCTAGTCTTCTGTTTCAAATTGTTCAAGATTTTTCTAGTGTTGTCCAAGCTATGGCTATTTAAGAGGCTGGTTCTCAATAAGAGATTAGACATTTTAAGTCGAAACAAATATTTGGTTTCTGATTCACTGGAACAAGGACAATGGCTGGCAAATCTGGATCCTGTGGAAGAGATGAAAGGTGAGGGCCCCTTCCTCCCAGAAGAGCCCTTTCTACCACCCCCTCCCGCTCAGTCAGTCCTTCTCGCTTGGTTAATTCCCAGACTCAGGATTCCTGTGAAAGAAAGTCGTCAGAACCATTCTCCTTAGCCAGAGACTGAGAGATGGAGCTATTAGAGCTCCGATTTCTTTGGCCTTCAGAAAAATATAGTCTAGGCTAATTCTTTGCCACCATGAGAAGTCAATTAGTTTAACAAAACAAAGAGCACACCTGTGTGTAAATGAAAGCTAGCTGTGCCCTGTTATTCTGCTAACTGATCTGACGAGATGGGAGTAACCTAAGAACTAGCCTCTCTGCATTGAGCTCAGAGTGCCCTAGAGGAGGTAAGAAACTGTGCAGTTTTAAAACATACATTTGTAAACGAAGAACAACATTCTTTCACCAAGACGATATGTATATTATAAATGCTAAAAAAATCCTTGTGAATTTGCACTATTTTTAATTATATGC